GAGTCCCTCTACTTCCTCCTTCACCATTCTCTTCAGCAGCAGCAGTATCACATTTGCCCCTAAGCAAATGAACAAAAAGGAATGTGACTTTATTGCAAGAGATGTGGAACAGTTCTTTGCAGAGTATTAGTGTCTCAGACAAGATTCTTTTGGATATAATATTGTCATCTCCAGGAGAAGAAAGCATTGGTCTTCAATAAAAAACTAATTTCACAAAGTGAAAAAGATTAAATATTAAATATGTTGACTATTTCCTAGTTTGGGATCTTATTTTGGTACCTTGTTTACAACCTGCACAAGTTATTTTGGTATCTTGCTTGTCATAGGAGGTCATAACCCTTCCATGTGGGGGAATGTGTCCATCTGGAAATATCTAGTTTCAAGTGTCGAAAATGTGCACATATTGATTCTCTTCCACATTCAGCGGCAGCCAACGCTAGGAAAATGCCTCCTTTGTTAGATTTCTATCATAATACCAGAGCTTCTTCAAGACTCATTTCTCATTTAACTTGAGTCAGATAGATTTAAATAAGTTAGTTTGGTAGCCAATACCAAATAGAAGGAACCAATGAAAATAAATGATCAAAATGGCGCTTAACCTTGCTACTAATTGTTACCAAGAATGCAAGGAGCCTTTTGAGCTGACCTCTGAGCTGGTTATTGACTTCTGTTCAGTATCTGGTACCAGTGAGTCCCTGAATTTGCCAAACTTATTGTAGTAACAGCAGCTATTCATCTGCAGACAAAAGGGCCGGTGAGAGAATGCTTAGAAGCAAAGCACACGGAATAGTAAATATTTGTTCTAGACAGGACTTCGCAATTCAGGCAAACCTTAACAACAGCTAAAATCTGTATGAATAGTCAGTGAAATACACTTTTTTTGGAGATGGGCCTGGGTTAGCAATTTAGTTAATATGATACAAACATGAAATTTAATTTCTCTAGCCAGCAAGTTCCTTATCTGTGAAATGGAATAACAATATTTAAAGTGTGTTATAAGACTTAAACGTAATATAAGTATTGTCCAATATTGTGTTTATCACATTTCTAGTCATTTGCAAGTAAAATACATAGAGGCTATTATTATTTTGTTTTCTAAAATCTAAGGAAATGTTGATTATTAATTTTATTAACATCATCAAAATTCTTTGCAGGAAAAATAACATTTTTAACTCAGGAAAACCCCCATTATCACACTTAATAAGACTAATCCCAGAAATAATGTAAAATATACATTTAGAATGGAAAAAAAATTATACATAGATCCTTCCTGCTGCCATTGTCAAATAATCTTGGAAATACTACTTCACTACCCCTAAATTGGGCTAATTTATTCCTGGGTCCTCATTATGATCATTTATAATATTTTAACTTTGTTTTATGCACTGGCTCCTTTCCTAAGTTCATACTACCCCAAATGGTTCATGATAGGAACAACTTTGTCAGTAATGGTAATGAGACAATGGTGAAGGATGCTGGGCAAAGGAACTCACTGGAGAAAACAGAAATTCAAAGAACTGAGAGACAACATTGTAAAAAATGAGCAAGAAAATGAAAATGAAAAAAGAACAGTGTAAAAGCAACCAAAGAATACCAAATATGAACAGTGAACTAAGAAAAAAACTTATCTTGTGATCTGTGATGACCTTTTTATTTCTTAATTTTTATCTTTTTAAAACATCTATTTATTTATGCATTTAAGAGCTGGGATACAGGCCAGAGATCAGGGAGATGGGAGGATTCGCCAAAGACAGACTGGGGAGTAAAACAGGCTGATGTACTGAAATACACTGAGGGGAGCAGCGGTTGAGACAAGAGAGGTCTGCTGTACCGTGTAGGTCAGCTCCCTGGCCAGGGATCGAACTCGTGCTGTGGTGGTTGGCAGTAGCTTGATAGCTCTGTGTGTTTAATCCCTGCACCACCATGCAGGCACGATGGTGACCTTTTTAAAGACAGTGGACAATGCGGTTACTTGAGAGTATGAGCAATATGGCACAGAGCAGAGATAGAGGCTGGGAGGATGGAGACTCAGGATGTGACTGAAGTTATAGTTCAGAAGTGAAAACATCCTAGATAAAGTCAAGAGGTGGGAGGTAATTTAATTCTTATTTTCTTTCTAATAGAATCTGTCTTCTTCTTTGCTGTTTCAAGAAAAGATAGGTGAAATGGAAGTAGTGGTCTATGACTTCATGAGGAACCTACCTACCAAATGTCCACATGTTTTAGCTTTGAGGTTCGTAGTTATGGAAACCATATGTGCCTAGATTATAACAGCAGAAACTCAGAACTGCCTGCTTCATAGAGAAGAGACTTGCTTACACGTTGTTCCAGAAAAATTAGCAAAATGATTTCAGAAACATAAGGAACAATAAACTTTTCCCCAAAACAGACTTCTCTCACTAAATGCAGTAATCTTGGTTCTCCTATGGGATCTCAGAGAACATAATCATAGCATTTTTTAGATCTCATGTCTTTGGTGAGAAAGGAAGGTTGAGCCTGAATACTGCCAGAACAACAAATACTATGACACTTTAGTTTTTAATCCTTAAGGTTTAACACAAAGGATTTAGGTACTTAGAGAACCCCCTTATCTCTCAAGGAATGCAAAGACATATAGGTGGTCTTAAGTACTTAGAAAATCCCCATATCTCTCTATGAGGGTCAAGGAATGTACAGACATATAGATAGTCATTTATATACCTATATACACATATACATATATGGATATATACACGTGTGTGTGTATCTGCCACTAAGAAGAGTCTTCAAGAGTTTTTAGTATTTTCCTTAGAACAGACAAGATAATCTTTGAACTTTGTACTTGATCATTATCATTTCAAGATTGTTTAATACTTACTAGATAACTTGTTTCATCTTTAAATCCTGAAATCTAGAGCCAGAAGGAAACTTCCTTCTCATTTTGGCATGCTTCCTAGACACCAGCCTGGAATTTAGTCCACAGTATCTCTGACAGGCATTACCTTATCTTGGCTTGATTTCAAGAATGGAATTCCATTGCTGATGAGTCCGTCTGCTTGCTCTACTACCTGATCCTCTAGTGTCAAATTTTTTTCTTCTATTTCATTTTCCCTTCTTTAAACCAACATCTCTCTTTCTGTTACTTGTATACATGGGACCTCTACTTTAGGGTAAGTCCCCCAACTTAAAAGTGTTTAAATATTGCAAAGGAAGAGGTAGTGCAGACAAAAGATACCTCCCTGAACATCCAATGTTTAATGGGCGACTCGGGGGATACATTTTATGTTACCTCTTTCTCCTACAATAGGCTAGTGAAGTAACCAGCATTAATGGCATTCAACTTACATGACATTAATGGCATTTACCTGTTTCACTGATAACAACTTTTAAAACTCTGAAACTTCTGAATTGAGATTCTGGGGTGCTAATCTCATGGCTCCTCTTTATTATTTCTAATAATCATTGGAAGTATATTCTGATTGTCCTAGGCAATCACAAGGGATTTTTGAAGATAGCAGTTTTATCAGTCATGTTAATGTAAGTTTTTTTTTAACTCATTGAACACATCACAAACTCTGGACATCACACACAGTAAGCATTGATTCCCTTTGGAAATGAGAACTTCTCTTTCCAAAATATTTCAAGCTCTGGGGAAATTTTGACTTTATCATTTTCTTTTCAGACTTCTGAGAAAAAGTCTGTGCTAGGAAACAATAGTTTTGATTGCAGTCATCAACACTAATGCAAGTCCTAAACCATTGGGCAACTAAACAATTGAGATTAAAGTAACACTGAGATTCACTGACATTCATAAAGTCAGGAATGATCAGGGCCAGAACATGATGAGCCCCACAACAAACTTCTAGAGATTTACTAACATTCCAGAATTAGTATTTAGTTTTTATTAAGTAATTCACATATATTTTATCTAAAATGGTATTTTACATTGTATGTATTAATTTTGATTTTGAAACACATTCATAGGTTTTTAAAAGGCTGAACTAAAACAAAACAAAACAAAAAAAACACCGATTAAAAAAAAAACCCATCACCAGATAATTACACTGAATGTTTTTGCTTTTAATTGATTTCATGAATGAAGTTTAGAAAAAAATCTCCAAAAACGACTGTCATCCAAGGTGTCTGGAAACGTATAATACAGAGTGAATTCTTTTGGGTTCCCATTACTTGTGGGTTTCTGTTATTTAATTTTGCTTGGGGATTTCTTTCTGTCCTTTTACCAGGTTCTCCAAAGTACTTATAATCAGATAAACCAGTACTATAAATTGTTTCCCCAATGCATTTTTCAATAATGATAATTGCCCTTAAAATTCATTCAGGCCTGGAAATCTGTCTAGGTGGAACCAATATGTATTTCTTTAAATTACTGTAGATAAGGTAAGAAATTCCCCCAAAATATTTGTCAAAATGTTTGTCATGATATTAACAAACATTACGTCTTTGGGGGATGAAACTATGCGTCTTTTTTTCCTTTCCTTTTTCTTTACTGTCATATTTTAAATGTTGCATGTATACTATTTTGATAAAAAAAAAAACTTTTGAAAAAGTGACTATAGACACAATAATACCCACGCATGAAGCGAGAGCTCGGGTTAATGTCAGACAACAGAAAGCTAATGTGCAGACTATAGACTATTGTCACCAGTTTACTCCACACATCTGGTTCTCATGTGCCAACTTGTTTACATGTCACAAGTACAACTAAAACCATGGTAACAGGACTTTGATCCAGGTTATCTATAAACCCTTGGAGAAGGTCAACCCCTTCTCCAAATAAATCAGCTGAATAATTTTATATTTTGCCTCAGAAACTTGTTTAGTGAACTAGGCTGTAAGAGAAGTAATATAGCTACTAAGTAGTCAGAGTTAACAAGACTGAAATGAAACACAGCACATGATGAAAGAAACAATCAGTGGAAGTCATTACCATTTTAGATAGAAAAGTGAAGCCATGACAGGGTCTGAACTCATCTGACAACTTTCTCTTCCTGTTTCTTTAGCATCTTCCTGAAGTACAACTAAGGACAGTACCCACCACTAGGTGCAAACACCACCAACTTACAGGACTATGGAGATGATCTGTTGGATGCTGAAAATGTCTCTAGTTTTTTGACAACGGTTAAATAACCATGGGGTCAAGTGGACTGGGGAAAGCAGCAACACTAGATGAATTGCTGAGCACGTGCATCGAGATGTTCGGTATGAGCCTTTTCTCCTCATCCCTTTGCCTTGATCCAACCATTGCCCCAGTCAGAAGCGAGTGGCTATGTGGGACAGACTTCAGTCTCCATCCCTGGTATTTAAGGCCTTTATGATCGACCCCAACCTGTCCCCCACTATCGTTCTCTGCATTTTTTTCCCTTTACTGCCCACAGTTAATACCCCAGGCACACTATCCAGCTAAATGTTGCTGGAACATTCTCTGCATCTTTCTACCTCCATGCTTTTTATCTTACTCCTTTTTTTTTTTTTAAGATTTATTTATTTATTCATACAGAACTGGGGTACAGGCAAGAGGATGGTGAGAGGTTTCACCAGAGACAGAGTGGGGAGCAGAACAGGCAGATTGATAAAGTACACTGCTGAGGGGAGCAGCGGGTGGGTCAGGAGAGGTCTGCTGTACCATGTGGTCACCTCCAGGGCTGGGGATCAAACTCATGCTGCAGGGGCTTTAGCATCTTAGTGCTGTGCTAACCTGCTGCACCACCAGGGAGGGCCTATCTTATTCCTTTCATTGGGGCCCCTGTTTCAGGTCTCATCTTGAATGTTCTCTCCATTTTTCATGATACCTTCCTGATCTTCCCTGCCAGGAGTGCTGGTAAACTACTTTCCTTTCCACAGCCCACTGTTACTTTCTTATGACCCATAGTATATGTTATTGTGATGATTCCTTGTTTATTTGACTTAGACAAGTGTGGGTGTCACAGACTGATGCCTTCTATAGTTTGAATAGGTCATATATCTCTTACCAGATTATCAACTCCACAGATAGATGTTTTCTATGTTGTTTGTGTATCCACCTCAATATTTTGCATTAGTCCTTGTTGAAATGATCACAACTAGAATGGGGTTGCCAGATAAAATATAGGATAGCCAGTTAAATTTCAATTTCAGATAAACCACATTTCTAGTACATGTCCTAAATAATGCATGAAACATACTAATATTAAAATACTATTTGTGGTTTATCTTAATTAAAATTTAATTAGGTACCCTGTATTTTCATTTGCTATATCTGGCAACCCTAAGCCAGGGGGAGAATGAGACCTACCTATGTAATTGGCAAGGAAATGCCAGCAGAAGTAAAAGGAAAACTTTAATTGGCTCTGTAAGAAATTTTTTGACACTGATGTTTCTCTACTGATATTAGAAAAAGAGTAAAACTATTATCTCCTCACCTCTCATTTTGTTTTTTTTTAACAGATGACAATGGAGAGCTGAATAATAGTTATTTGCCAAGGATAGTTCTACTGATGCACCGATGGTATTTATCTTCCACTGAACTGGCAGAAAAACTTCTCTGCATATATCTTTTCAACTATTGTGTGATTTTTATAATCATAAACCAATTTCTAAACTTAGATAGTGTCTCACCAAAACCAGTAGACAGTGATGCAGTCTTCATTCAGCATTCAGTTGCCCAGCTGTTTTGTGGCTATATATAGATTTCTCGACAAAACAGCTGGACGGTGGACCAAATAGTCGATCATCCATCTGGATGTTTGTGCTACTTGAAAATAATCATCAGATACGAAATGAAACAGCTGTAGACTGAATGTTTCTGACTTGCCAAACATCTCTGCTGGTAGTAAATGAAAGCATATTTAACAATGATTCAAGTCCTCATTTATTCCTTTTAGGATGACAAAATGGCAGACCTAGAGGATACAGTTTAGACATACGGAAATGTCACCCAAATAATATGACCTGGCTGAGGCACAAACCACCTACTCTTTCACATCTTTCCTTGCTGGCAAGCCACAATAGTATAGCAACTTTATTGTAATTTTTTTTTTTTTTTATTAACCAGCTTTTTTTTTAAGTCAACCTAAAACTATTCTAAAATAT